CACTGTTGCCCATAAGCAAAGCTTTTGGCATCGCTAATAATAACAGCCGTGTAAGAAAATGCAGATGGGCTCGGAGGAATGCCATCGCTCGGTACACCGCCATTAAAAAATACCATCATTAAAATATTAGAAACCCAGCGAAGAGCAGCGGCAGCACATTCTGAAATCTCATTATAAACGAAATTACCGAGCATCTTTGTGCACGGTCGAGAACTGTTAGCTTTTCAGATGAGACAATCAGTTATTATGTTTACCAGAAAGGACACAGAGTTGTCGGCGATCATGTGGGGCCTTGGGGGACTGCTATCTGGGCGTCGGTGTTGCCAAGTCAATTAATTAGTTTTGGTGTCGAAAATCCGCAACGTCCGATCAAAAAGCGAATATTTATGAAATAATCGACGCCTTAGATTAGTCTAGAACATATCTAGTTGGTTCTGGTGTTCCTCAGGGCTCCAACCTAAGCCCTCTTCTATTTTTACCATTTATTAATGATTTATGAGATAGTTCAGAATGACAACGATTATATTAACCTTTTCTTTGTGAACGTTAATTTTTTGCAGATGCAGGATTATGTGAATCTGATCACGCTCAAAATGACTTTATTGTTGATTTTCTTAGGCACTTTCTTGGAGATTTCTGTTGAGTCGATAAAAGAAAAGTTATTATATTTTACATAAAAATACTGAGAATATTCAGATTATGCGCCTCATTGACGCAATCCTTCATCAAAATCTGGGAATCTCTGATCAGACCCCACAATGATTTTACTGTTGATTTTCTTGGATATTTGGAGATTTCTGTGAGTCGATAAAAAGAACATTTTTATATTTCACATTAAGATACTGACAATATATAGATTATGCGCCACATTGACGCAATCCTTCATCAAAATCTGGGAATCTCTGATCAGACCCCACAATGATTTTACTGTTGATTTTCTTGGATATTTGGAGATTTCTGTGAGTCGATAAAAAGAACATTTTTATATTTCACATTAAGATACTGACAATATATAGATTATGCGCCACATTGACGCAATCCTTCATCAAAATCTGGGAATCTCTGATCAGACCCCACAATGATTTTACTGTTGATTGTCTTGGATATTTGGAGATTTCTGTGAGTCGATAAAAAGAACATTTTTATATTTCACATTAAGATACTGAGAATATATAGATTATGCGCCACATTGACGCAATCCCTCATCAAAATCTAAAAATATGATCAGACTCAAACGCTTTCTGGAGATTTCTTTTGAGTCTATAAACGGTCAATTACTACATACTACTTAATAATACTGAAATTATGCAGATAATGCACCATATTGACGCAATCCTTCATCAAAATCTGGGAATCTGATGAGGTCCCACAATGATTTTATTGTTGATTTTCTTGGATGTTTTCTTGGAGATTTGGAGATTTCTGTGAGGCGATAAAATGAGAATATATAGATTATGCGCCACATTGACGCAATCATTTATCAAAATTTATGAATCTATTCAGTTTGAGTGAGTTTATTTTTGATTTTATTGGACGCTTTTTCGGATATTTCTGTTGAGTCAATAAAAGTGAAGACGCTGAAAATACGAAGATTTTGCGACATATTGACGCAATCCTTTATCAAAATCTAGGAATTTGATCAGACCCTGAAATTTGTTCAGTTTTTATTTTATTGCACTCTTTATTGAAGATTTATGTTGAGTCAATGAAAGTCAAGATACTGAAAATAGGCAGATTTTGCTTATTTTGCGCCACGTTTCTACCAAAATCTAGGAATCTGATTAGGCCCTACAATAAGTCCATTTTTTATTCTATTGGACGCTTTTTCGGACATTTCTATTGAGTCGATAAAAGTGAAGACACTGAAAATACGCAGATTTTGCGACATATTGACGCAATCCTTTATCAAAATCTAGGAATCTGATAATGCCTTTTGATTTCATTGGACGCTTTCTCGGAGATTTCCGTTGAATTAATAGAAGTGAAGATACTGAAAATGTTCAGATGATGTGCCTAGTTGGTGCAATCGTTCATCAAAACCTACAATGTGTTTTTTAATTTTATTGGGATTGAAAACATTCATGATCTAACACGAGATACCCCTCATTCACCCTGCCATCGGTCTCATCAGCGGTACTAGGCTGAACCACAATGCTTTTGGGCTTCAAAGTGGATTAAAGGAACATTATTGAAGGTTCACTTTAAGATAATGAAAGTACGCAGATTTACGTATTTTCTGTTTCGTTGGCAACGCTGCTGGGCGTGCACTTGCCTGACGGCATTCCTTGCCGCTCGGGGCAAGTTTACTACACCTCTGCTCTGGCTTTCGAGTTGTCGAAGAGATACGTACGATTTCCACGACGTATTATTAAAATTCAGACCGACTCACTTAAGAGGACAGGTATGCAGGTACACCGCGATCTTATCTTCTCGGTTATGATTCATATTTTGCGAGATTTCGATGGAATTTTGTTGTACCTACTATATAAATCGTGGGGATCTGTACTTTATGTTTTCAGCTGAGAGCAAAGACACAAATAAAGATAGTTTCAAAAGTTACTTCTCCGACAAGGTACTTATTTGAAGACAGGGTGCTGCAGGGTAGTATATTAGGCCCACTACTTATTTAGTGCCTAAACGACAAACATTCATTTTTTGCGATTGTGATTTCATTAAACTGTTTGCAAACGATACTTTGGCTAGCTGGTCCTGATGAATATATCAAAATTGACTTAGATAAAAATGAATATAATTTTGAAGAAAGTTAATCAAACAAATCGATGATTACCACAACTCAACAAAATAAATTTGATGGAACCTATTTCTAATATTGGCAATGAAATAATTGGAATTACTATAATTGTGAAATGTTTGGTTCTTCAACTTAAAACAATGTGTGATTTGGCAAAGCAGGCTGAATAAATGAAAACTAGTTTGACAGATGAAGATTCAACATAAAGGCCGTTATCAATTGTCAAAGTTCGAAGATCCTAAAGTACAAGGTGTTCTCTGATATGAGTATGTTTCAATTTGCCCAGTATCCATTTATTTTTAAAGTTCGGGAGTCCCTGTTGAAGAACAGGAGTGTAGAAAGACCTGCAGCTACCCAACGACATCGTCTACAAACGGTAGACACTGCATCAGCCCTATTTTTGCAAAAGGCTGTCACCATGCTTCCCTATTTTAGCTTTATTATCGATGTGACTAGATTAACAGACTTCTTTGGCATGCATCTGTTGATAATTTGGGACTTTAAATTCTGTTACATACTTTTGTGAACTACATTGGTATTTTACTGGCATTATTTGCAGGCTTGTTGAAACTGTATGATTGAGCATTGTGGAATTTCTATTGAAGCCCGTCTGATAGTCTATAATTCTCCGTACATCGACTGATTCCACTTATCTGGCAAAGTTTCTTCATTCCATAATATAATTTATTATTGCGATAAGCCGCAATATCCTCCACCATGCAAATAATGCACTTTATTGACGCAATCCTTCATCAAAATCTGGGAATCTGATAAGGTTCTGTGAACGTCCAAAGAAAAGATGCTATATGAAAGTATGTGTTGCTGAAGTTGCTATATAAAAGCATGTTTTTTCTGCTATATAAAAGTACGTGTTTTAAAGCATGAGGTATTAATGATGCATGGGTAATATAGTGTACCTATATTTGTTCTTGTTGATCGCTCAAAGATACTATTACAATCACAGAGAAATTATTTACAGGTATTACACCCTTGTTGTAGGTATTCTGAATAAAATTTTGATTGCAATTTTTCTAAATTTCAGTTTATGAGTTGATCAACTGTTTCAAATTGCATGAACTTTCTGAACATCTGAAGAGAAGATGCTATATAAAAGTATATGTTGCTGAATATGCTATATAAAAGAATATGTTGCTGAAGATGCTATATAATAGTATGTGCTTTATGATATATAAAAGTATTTTACAACATTAGGTATGTATGAGCATGTGTAATGAAAGAGACTATCACAATCACAGAGAGATTATGCACAGGTATTGCACCTTTGATGTACTCGAAATAAAATTATCATTGCAACGTTTTTAAAATGTCAGTTTGCGGGTTGAACGACTGATTCAAATTGGCTGAACTCTGAACATCTGAAGAAAAAATGCTATATAAAAGTATCTGTTGCAGAAGATGTTATATAAAAGTATGTGTTACAGAATATGCTATATTAAAGTATATGTTGCTGGATATGCTATATAAAAGTATATGTTGCTGGAGATGCTGTATAAAGGTATGCATTTTCTGCTATATAAAAGTGAGTGATTTATAGCATCAGGCGTTAATGGTGCAGGTGTAATTATTCGTTGCTTCTAGTGTACATATATGTACATACAGGTATTTCTCTCTTGATGTACTCAAAATGAACATTTTATTGCAATTTTTTTTTAATGTCAGTTTGTGAGTTGATCGACTGATGTGTTGCTGAAGATGCTATATGAATTGGGATTGTGATATCTCATAGAGATATCACAATCACAGAGGGATTATGTACAGGTATTGCTCCCTTGATGTAAGTACTCCAAATAAACATTTTTTTGCATTTTTTAAAATGTCAGTTTCTGAGTTATCGAATGATTCAAATTGGCTGAACGCTCTGAACATCTGAAGAAAATATGCTATATAAAAGTATGTGTTGCAGAAGATGCTATATAATAGTACGTATTTTAGGCTATATAAAAGTATTTTATAGCATTAAGTATTGATAATGCATTAGTAATGAATCGTTGCTCCCAATGTATCTATATTTGTGCTTGTTGATCGCTGGAAGAGACTACTAATCACAAAGTAGACTATCTACAGTATATTTCATCCTTGATGTAGGTATTTGAAATAACATGCCAGTGTAATTATTTTATTTTGCTTTGTGAGTTGATTGACTGATTCAAATTGGCAGAACTCTCTGAAACACTCTCCCCAACTCTAATAAACTCCCCTCATATTTTTGTAACCTTTTTCAACTTACAACATGCGTGTGATTCCCGTCGCCGTCCCTCCTCAACCCTAACTGGTTGTAGTGGTGCAGGCCGGAGAGGCCCCCGTACGGATCCGTGAGGTACTCGAGATGCTGCTGGGGCGGCGGACTGGGCGGATGGTGGAAGGGAGGCGGGAAGTAGGGCGGCTGGAAGTCAGGCTGCGGCAGTTGGTGTTGCATGGCGGCGGAATGGTGGAGGCCCGAGGCCGCCCGATGATGGGCGGTCGAGCCGCCCGCCGAGTAACCGCCCGGCGAGCCGCCGCCCAGCGTCAAGGAACCATGGCCGGTGGCGGTGAGGCGTTCCTGGAAAGAAAAAAGCCGGGTTAGAATCCTGTTTCACTTTTTTTTTTATTTCTCATGTGACCCTATGAATTATACTTCAAAATTTTAAATAATGACTTACGAAAAATGATTATCAAATGAACGCTGATAGGTAAATAATACCGTTTCAACCAACATCCTCGTTATTTTGAGAGAGTGGCATTTTGATATAGACTCCAAAAAATCATTCCATATTATAGACATTAAAGGTGGGAATATTCACAGGGTTCCAAAGTATCTTTTCAGTATGACACTAATTAAGAGTTTGAAATAATGACTTGCGAAAAATGAGCATCAAATGAATGCTGATATGTGCATAATACCGTTTCAACCAAAATCCTCGTTATTTTGAGAGAGTGGCATTTTGATATAGACTCCAAAAAATTATTCCATATTATAGACATTAAAAGTGGAAATATTCACAGGGTTTCAAAGTATCTTCTCAGTATGACACTAATCACGAATTTTAATCAATGACTTACGAAAAATGATTGTCAAATGAATGCTGGTATGTAAATAATCCCGTTTCAACCAAAATCCTCGTTATTTAGAGAGAGTGGCATTTTTACATAGACTTCAAGAGACCATTCGTCATTATAGACATTAAAAGTGGCAATATTCACAGGGTTTCAAAGTATCTTCTCAGTATGACACTAATCACGAATTTTAATCAATGACTTACGAAAAATGATTGTCAAATGAACGCTGATATGTAAATAATACCGTTTCAACCAACATCCTCGTTATTTTGAGAGAGTTGCATTTTTACATAGACTCCAAGAGATCGTTCGATATTATAGACATTAAAAGTGGCAATATTCACAGATTTCCAAGGTATCGTCTCAGTATGACAATAATTACGAGTTTGAAAGAATGACTTACGAAAAATGATCATCAAATGAATGCTGGTATGTAAATAATACCGTTTCAACCAAAATCCTCGTTATTTAGAGAAAGTGGCATTTTTACATAGACTTCAAGAGACCATTCGTCATTATAGACATTAAAAGTGGCAATATTCACAGGGTTTCAAAGTATCTTCTTAGTATGACACTAATCACGAATTTGAAATAATGACTTACGAAAAATGATATCAAATGAATGCTGATATGTAAATAATCCCGTTTCAACCAAACTCTTCGTTATTTAGAGAGAGTGGCATTTTTACATAGACTTCAAGAGACCATTCGTCATTATAGACATTAAAAGTGGCAATATTCACAGGGTTGCAAAGTATCTTCTCAGTATGACACTAATCACGAATTTTAATTAATGACTTACGAAAAATAATTATCAAGTGAACGCTGATATTGAAAGTGTCAATCACAGATTTTAAACGTACCAATTCACAAATTTTTAAAAATATAATGAATTGCAATGAAAATACGTATGAACAATAACGATCTTGCTTACGTCTTTCTGTTACTGGGCGATTGGATCCTCAAGTACGAACTACGAAGTGTACATAAATAAACAGATTACTGAAAAACTTTCTGCAGATTTATAATACTAACATACCATTCTCGAAGATAAATACGGAAGTGTTCAACGACCAGAAAATAACAATGATTTCATAACTCCTCCTTTTCTCTGCGACCAATAAAAGTTCACGGACGAAGAAGCTATTGTTATTGTAATTCGTGAACTTAAAATTCGTATTCACACGATCATTCAGATGCGATTGTGATTCTATGCTTGTTAATCTGATGTGGGAGGAGTTAAAAATAATTCTTGCACACTTGAATGTTGTTCGATATTCGTAGTCGGTTTTTACGAGATGAAAAAAGTCCGTAACAAATGTACCTGTACAGTTATGATTCGATGTATGAGAAACGTGATTCAAATGTAACCACTCGTGTATTTTGAATTTTTCATGAGAAGATTTTGGGTACTGTAATGATTGGCAATTACACAGCTATGCAAATGTCGATCCAATAGTGGTTAAATAAAAATTTGTCGAAATTCATTACTTCATTCTTGAAAATTTTCCTTGTGTAGGTATTTTTTTTTGTTTTTGAATCTATCTATCTATCTTAACTGGTTCAAAGTGAAGTTTTAACCATGTTTTATCCAAAATCTACACAAGTCATGATAACTAAAAAGAGTTATGAAGTATTATCAATTTCTGAGGGTGATTATTGAGTTGATCAAGAACATATGATAATTTGTATAATAAAAGTACATTTTAAATCCAGAAAAGTTGCACGACGACGTAATAATTCAACAGAGGAAGCGATCTTGCCCGAATCGAACATAAACAATAAAATAATGCTGCAATAACATACGTAGTTTGATCTCCCAAATGTCCCGATATAAACAATATCGACCAATATCGAATTTCACTTGATTAAAAAAAATGGAAAAGTCCACTCTCTACTCAAACTAAACGTTTTATCTTCTTGTTTGTTCTTTTATACGGTTAGAACGCTCTAGTGCAGGTATTTGTCCCCTCTTGTCATCCGGATGTCTCTTTAAATTTGCCTGAATTTGGGTAATATCCTTTGTGTTGGAGCTCCTCTAGGTTCATTGTTTCTGGGAATGTGTAGTATATTGAATGTTAGGTCTAAAAGAACAAACAAGAAGATAAAACGTTCAGCTTGAGTAAAGCACAGCCTGTTATCGAAAGCGCTTGCATGTAATAAGTAGAAGTTATTGAAGCTTCAAATCCTTTTTATAAACATATGTTAATATTATAATATTTGTAAATATATGTTAATATAAAATCGAGAAAGGTTAATGCAGTCAAGCTGCTAGAAAATGATTCCACGAAAAGCAAAAGATAAATAGATAAGTACTGAATTGAAGGGGTTATATTTTTAAGAGTGATTAATTTTTGGGAAAGAAAGTTTTTGGCTTTCTATGCATAGTTATAATAATTATTTTTTTTTTTTTTTTCGGGTGAGTCAACTGTTATCCAATCTTTTCAATGAATAGTGAGTAAGTTGAACATATGGAGTAGTAGAAAGCCAAAAACTTTCTTTCCCAAAAGATAAGTACTATTCTGATCATTCCCATATTGATTTCAATTCAAGAGCCACCGGTAAACAGCTGTTTCAGCCTATTGGGCATCGTCAGTACCGGGCAGGCGGTCCTCGATGGAAGACAAAATGTGAATAACCAAGAAAAGTACTTGATAGGATTAACTGCGTAAACGCAAGCGAGACATAAGTGGAACCACCTATTGGTATGACACCCAAATCAACTTGCCAAGTTTTTATGCCAGTGTTGGTGTTTGACCAATCAACCGACAACTGCGGTATAGCAGAAATTTAGGAAACTAACGTGGAATGTCATCGGAAAACGAATCCACATGTTTTTAGAAATGATATGAAATCGAGTAATGTTAATGCAGTCAAGCTGCATTATTATATATTGTTTCGTACAAGCTTTTTTGTCATTCAAATATCTGTTGCGCGCAAGATCGCATGGATGGCTATCATCTCAATCGGATTAGGGTAACTCGAGGGAGAAACCCGATTTTCTAGGGCATAGATGCCTTCAGTTATTCTACCCTTCACCCACATAGAGAATATGCAGCATGTAGTTCGGAGCTCCGAAGTGTGATTCTGGAAGATTGTTACGACGTGTGCCAGTGATGTGATTTTTTAAAGAAATACACGTAAGTACAATTTCATATAGAGTTATCGCGTTCGCCGTGTGAATTTATATAAAAAATTATATTTGAATGAATTCAGGATTATTTGGGAAAGTCTTCACCCAAAAAACACAAACCTTCATTATATTCATAACTAAAAGCTCAGACGGTGGTGCGTATTTTTTGTTTTTGGTGGAGTAAAAAATGAGGAAGTTATGCCGGATGATTTGAAGAAAAACAGCATCTGTGTCGTTCGCAGATGAATGTATATAAAAAAAAATTGTTGATGTCAATCAATAGGCTTCATGGGCCCCAAACAAAATCATTCGACGTGTTTCGGGAAATTTTTCCACTCACTATAGGATAAAAAATATACGGGGTGGCTCGTCTGAGATGGAACACCCTGTATATGAAATTGAAGTTTGGAGTAAGTTTTAGGAAATCCTGGGATGACAGGGATAGTATAATGTCATTATAAGTTGAGTACTACTGGGGCTGAAAGTCTCTGGCCTAACAAATAATGGCGCTTGTCCAATTTCATTCAACGCATTTTCAGACAGTGTTTCAATTTTACACTGCTTCTTATGGGAAAACATAAACGCGGTCGTAGAGACATCGATGATGCGGATCACATTGGACGTCCAAATGATGCAGTAATACCAGAAAAGAAAAAAATCCACAAAATCATTTTGAATAATCAAAAAGTTAAGTTGCAAGAGTTAGCTGAGTGAAGATATCAAAAGAACTTGTTGGCTTGCTTTATACTATTACTTATGCCAAAGAGCATTCATCGAGTCAACTCAAATTTAAATTTGGAATAATGAAATTAAAAAATGTAAATGGAAAGGGAGGTCTTATGACGCATTTTTTTGAAGCTCCTGACAAATGCTTGCGGAAGAACAGCAAGTGCAAATAATTGGTGAGATGGTAGTAAATCCTGAACAGTCTACTTATTCCGTCGCTAATATTTGTGAGGTGTCTCCTTCTACTGTGTGAAGATTTTTGAAGAGGAATCAATCAATTCAATTCAATTTTATTCAATTCAGATAACTGGAAATACATTTTTACATTTTGTTCATTATTTTTGTACATCTTGTTCAATATGATTCCTCCAGTGATAGTTTCAGTTAGGCAACTTAATGCCTGTCTTCTGAAAGTTATCTTTGAAGGATCATATTCCTATTCTAATTACCATAGAAGTATAAAGGGTTATTAAATGTTTTTTGTTTAATATATCTCGAAGAGTGTAGAATCTATTCATGAGTGATCTTACCCTTTTTGTGACGTAAGTAATATGATCGTGCCATCTTAGTTGTTTGTCAACAATGACCCCAAGGTATTTAATAGATTCAGTTCTCTCTAGAGATCGGCATGTACAAACTAGTGG